AAAAATGCATTCGCGCATTTTCCTCGCTGTTTTTGGAGAACAGTCTCCTAACTTGGGACTCATTTTCCAGGAAATCATCATCTCTCTCTCGCTTGTACAATTTGAACATCCAGCCAGTGAAACGAAATTCCGTTCAAATGGCGGATATGTTGGAAAGACGGAAACAGATTATTATTTGCTCTTCATTGCAGACTGAATAAAAATCTGGAGCAATTGTATTCATAGGAAGAAGCAGCAAAACATAACGAGATAAGAAACAAAGAGAAGAATCGGGAAATACGAATGTGAAAATACGGAGATTTTTAGCGGGATCAAGGATTTCTCGGAAATTTTGGCAATCTTCCTCGCAATCAAAACAATTTTAATTCTTATGAGTAACTTTCCGCATCCAAGAATCGCGAGAGAATCGAGGAAAGAATTCCAATAATTTAAATTATAGAAGCGTGAAGAGAAATTAAATAATAGACGGAGAGGCAGCTGCGGGGTAGGCACAGCGATATGCGCTACGCATAGCAAACAACACTGTATATCAGCTTATCGACATTTAGTAATGATCACATGCGAATCCAACGTGTGAAGGCCAACGCGTTTTAGTGGACTTATGGAATTGTTTCGAATACAACGAATATAACGAAAATCTCGAATCATTACGAATCCAAACAAATTTCTGAGAGTTTTGAGTCTTGATATGTATAAGAAAACCTTGAATATTTTCGAAAATGCATTTTTTATCTTCCACGCGTAGCACTTTACGTTATTATTTCAATTCACAGACGACAATTTTATATATTTTCAAGAATTTTAAACATTCTCTCTTCTTATTCAAGCACTTCTAAAGAAAAGTTTTCTAGACGTTTAAGATTTTCAAGAGTTTCAATATATATATATATATATATATATAAGATACGCAAAACTTACAAAATTGAAGAAAACTTCCTTTTTCAAATAATATTCGAACAAGTCCAAATCTTTATATAATTGAATTGTTTTAAAACCTTCAGTTAAGAAAACGATTCAAATCACTTCTATCACTTGTTTCATAAGTCTGACAAGTAAAGTATGTTTCGTTGTGTAAAAGATAAAGTAATAGATGTTTCATCACATCAGATACATGTATATCACAAATGTTTTATCAGATATATAGATACAATTATTTGGGATGACAAACGCTATCATCAGATTAAATACAAAATAAGGAAAAAAGATTTAAGGAAACTTTAAATTTGTTTTCAAATAAAAAATATTATTATGTGTTATAAAACCGAAAAAATTTAAATACAGTAAAAGGAGAGATTAAAAAACATGTTTACATAAATTTATTCATAAATAAATAAAAGAAATTATATATAACATATATAATATACATATTATATATATATATATATACATAAATATATACATATATGTTATATTGTGAATATTTTAATACAAAAATTGCACATCAAGGAATTCTTGACACCAAATATATAAACAGTATATCTTCTTTTATTTACACTGATTAAGACTTTCTTTTTTCTTCTGATCTTTTTCTCAATCGACGGTTCTTGCCGAATTAGTCGCCGAATAGAAAATTGTGAAAAAAGTTCAGGACGTCGCGATCGATTCTCCACAAAGTGTATTGATCGAAACTTTACATGCATTAAATATTAATTATAAACACGTATATACGGTAATCCGCAAATTATAGTTTTGCTGAACGTTACTTTTCTCTGGTACTTTATAATTTTTTAAATAATTTCTCCAATGACGGAATATCGCAATATACATCGCACCTTAAAGATATCAAGTTTTATTATCAATTGTTATTTAAATATTATGAGACAAAAATAATTTTTTTTTTCGTAAAATTTATTAATATAATTATATACGTTTACAAAACAAAAATGTATTTTTCTCGGCTTAACTTCTTCATTTTCTCGATTCACTTTCGTATCTTCAAACACACACACAAATGTGTATTTCTTCAATTTAATTTCTTCATTCCTACAATTTATATAATTCTTTATTTTAATTTCTTCATTTTTAAACGTTTTGTCACTTGACGAATCATTACAATTAAAAAACCTTCATGTTTAGAAATCGCGGGAACAATTATCAATTTTAAATTCAAACATTGAATCTAACTTTCTAAGTATCTTCTACAAAATGCTAAAGATGTCCAAAAAGCTCGACACAATGCGACCATGCCTCGTTCCGATGATGTTGGCGTGCACCGCGCGGGGTATTTTGAGACACTCGGTGAACGATGACGCGCTCAAGACACATCATGACGAGGGCGAATATCATTTGCAAAGTGACTTGACTTTGTGACGTAATTCTGCCGTGACGTAAGATACACGAGGAACGGAAGATCTCCAGCAGAGACGAGTTACGCTCGAATAACGATTGTGCGTGCGAACGTAATTGATATACCGGGTGTTTCAAGCATAGCACATCTACTATAGATATAGTAACAATAGTAATAATAATATATATAATAATAAGTATGTAATATATAATAATAATATATAATGATAATATTAATTAATAATAATAGATAATAGTAATAACAGTATTATAGTAATTGTAATAGTAATAGTAATAACAGTAATATTAATCATCGATAATAATAGAATTGTTGTCTCTTCGTTTTGTTAAAAGAAAAAAATTATTTTAAATTACACATTATTTTTATATATTAATATTAATTTACATAAATATTATTTTATCATATAAGGAATAACAAATATAGATATACAGGATTGTATCGCTTTCTTTTTCAGAAATATTATTTATTCTTGAAAAAAATTAGAGCCAATTTCTCCGTAACTATTGGAATAGCAAATAGAACAAAAATCAAGATACTTAGAAAATTACCGGTTCTACAATATCCTCCATCTCTTATTTATTTTCACATCATAATTAAAATCGCATCAAGATTCAAGAGCACTGAAGATGCGATCAAAAAGACTTATTTTGAATATAAGAGAAACGGGCTAATTAAATGATGCGGTAAATGATACGCGAAAGTTATTTGTATTTTAAATATTTACATGTTTTCCAACCTTAGTATGTATTTTGACTTATTTTGAGAATAAAGATTTTGAGAATAAAGCCGTATAATCTAACGTGTGTGCTTCGAGAAACATTAACAAACTACAAACTCGCGCCTTTTTACAAATAAATATCTTATTAAAACTCACCATTGAAATGAGATAATCTCATCTCTGTGGAGATAAATTAATGAATTGCGGATACCGTAAAAAAACAACATAATTAAATTTATACAAGTATATACAACAGCGATTTATGAAGCAACAGTTAGGAACGGTTTATATACGCTGTTTTAAATTTATATTACAACTGGACGTAATGTGTATTATTAGACCACAATATAAACCATTACTCCACGATTCATAGAAGAGAAATGTGCCGCGGTACGGCGAGAAATGACAGAACTATTTTTGGCAGACTCCGCGGAGATCGAGGCTTAATCAGAACCGATCCGCTATGTCATCCTCAAGCACCTCAAAACAGATGTTGCTCGACCGGTCGAACCCCGCCGTTTAAGCTTGTGTTGTACTCACATGTGTATCGTTCCTACGTAACCGGATTTTTCACCTTGCTCCCTCACAAATTCATCATGCACAAGGTCGCACGCATACACACATACGCAGGCAACGGAATAAAGGGGAAGACGACTAGCCGCGACGACGTCTGCGCGGACACTGAGCTCGCATTGAGCGTCGCGCGCGCCGTTCTCGCTACATCACGTGGCATGCAATCGGCGTCAACCGCTCGACCGAAGAGCTAGGGGATGCCTAACAATCGCGATTGAAAACTCTGGGAGGGAAAGAAACTCTATTAGAGTCCCGGGTCTAGCCACGGTTCGCGAGAAGTCCCGCTGTTCTCAGATAAAAGAAATCACGACCTTCACGAAGTATAAAATTAAAGACCGCTCCTCTCTCGTAATGTTCCAGTAATATTCTTATCGGCAGCTTGTATAATATGTAACAGCTTCTGGCTTCTATGTTGGCTCGGATTTTAATAGCTTAGGAAGGTCATGGCCGGCAGACACGTCAAGATAATTAAGCTTCTCCTATATCTGAATCTATGTCAAACGCAGTAGTATCGAATAAAAAGACAAAATTTTGTAATTATTAATGAATTAATAACAATGTATTCACAGAGATGTGTAAGATTAAACAAAGTATCCCAAATCTGGCGGAAAGACATGCACATAAAAGTTACTTCTTAAAATTTTAAAGTGTTATAAAATTTTCGAAGAGTTATGATTTTCGAGCCGTTAAAAATAAAAGATTTTTAACTAAATAATTGCTTGTCTTTAAAGAGATTTTTTAAATTTTATGCTAATTACTAAAATCTTCGAATATTTGAAATTAGAAGAATCATGTAAGATAAAAACTCATTTTCTGGGAATTCTGCGATACTCTGTAGATCAAATAATATTAGATAGATAATAAATAATAGATTAAATAGCTGATGAATTGTGCAATAAATAATCTAATAAATATTTTTATTGCTAGCATTATTATATTAAAAATAGTCTGATTCAATTTACATCATGTAGGATTTATTTGTTTAAATAATCTACGATTTAACTCTCAAGTAAATACATCTCGTAGAGTCTTCGATCTTGCTCGTTACGGAAATTCGGAACAAAATTGATTTCCACTATTTCCTTAAAGCCTTCCTCCAAAGTTGGCGGCACGTAATTTTTCCTGTACACAAAACATAAAAAATTTTGATATTAAATATTGACTGATAACATAATAATCAACTGACACATGAAATGAATCTTTTTCTTATCAAGACCGAGCTAGCTTATCTATTCTTAACTTTCCACAAATCTCTACTTAAGATCTAATAGTTTAGTAATAAATAGACAAATAACATTGTGTGTCTTGATAAAAAAAAAGCTTAAAAGTTAAACCTATATGGTTAAAATAATACGGAATTTTAAGTAAAAATGCATTCAAGTTTATATATCTAAAATCTACTTACACGTAGGAGTTGATAATAATCTCGTTGATTGGAATGTGGCTTGGATCAGTCAACTCGCGAAACTGTAATATAATAATAAAGTTCGATTAGAATTTTCCGAAACATCACTTCATACGATTCTTTCACACGATGACGGTTAATGTTAATTTCCGATTACCTTATTATTATGTTTCGCGTGTTCTATACTTGTCGTCATGACGAAACATCTGACCGAGACATTACGCTTCTTGGCTATCTCAATGTATCTCTTTCTCGAAGCTGGATCGGGATTGGTATTGTCTAAAACTATACTTTTTCCTTGATTTAAGTATTGTTGGACTGCGGCAATGCACTTCTGCCAGCTGCCTAAAGTGTCTCTGTTGACATATCCGTATTCCTTCAGATAATTCTTTGCAAAATGCGATTTTCCGGAGCCTGGGCTGCCGACCATAAGTACCACCTGTTAATGGATATAAAAAGAATTTTATTAGGAATCAAATAATTTTAATGTAAATAATCTTCTTTCAAACTTTTCAATGTCTAATCTCCAAAAAAATAATTTTATATGCAAAAGTTAATGTTAAAAGTTTGTTATTGTCTACCTCTTGTTGCTTCAGCGTTAATTCTGCGTCCACAGGTTTACATATGTCGTCGGTCTGCGACAGACTCTTCGGGTTGAACTTAGGTAACTCGTAAGGCGGCGTTTTGTGTTTCAAAAAGTGTTCTTCAGGCGTCTCAAATTTAATGCCCAAGTTCAATGCCATTAATCGATCCGCACTTGAGTGATCTTTCTTTTTTCCTGGAGCCCAATTCTTTGGCCGACCAGCGGCGTCACCAATGTAGAACGAACTAGCCTTGTCAATTGTGACGCCTCCATTCTTCTATAGTCACACAAATATCGTGGAATTATTGCAAACAGAAATTAGACAAATAAAATATTTATATTTAATTAACTAAAGAAATTATAGAATTCGAATTAGTTATATCTTAAAAAAGTAAAGAATTGGAAGTGGAAAATATATTTCTGGTGAGAAATTCCAAAAAATATAAAATTTTTTACATAGATATTTAAAAAAAAAAGCTTTTTTGATTTGTATATTCTTTTAACTCTATAAAAGCTCTGAGACATGCTATACATTTAGTATTGTTTTATACTTTCCATATAAAGTTATTTTATGTACCTCTTTTTCCAGTAATTCCCACATACCAATTGTTGGCTTTCTATAAATGCTCTTTCCAACAGCGATAAAAACCTAAGAAGTATAATACATAAGTAAAAACATTATAATTTACAGTGAAATTATAATTATGATTATATCATACTTGAATGGGGACGCCGATTTTCTGTACAACTTTCTCAATCTTGCGCTTGAAATCGTTGATCTTGACTTTGCCGGTGCTAAGACCTGCCTGATTTGTGAAGATCACTATTTTATATCCATTCGTATGAAGCTGCTTCAATTTACCAGGTACATCTGGATATAGTAACTGCCAATCGTTACAGTCCTTTGGAAATACCAAGCCAGATTTAGGTTTTATTAAAGTACCATCCATATCATATGCAGCCACCTAAAAGCAAAACTCATTTTTAACATTAATGTTCGTAAAAATCTT